CTGTCTGCCAACCCTGCCTATCCTTGCTCCTGCCTCTCTATTGGCTGTTCAGCTCTTTATTAGGTCATCAGGTGTTTTAGACAGGCAAAGAATCCCAACTTCACAGTGTTAAACAAATGCAGCATAAAAAAAAAAGTCACACACCTTAAAATAATATTCTGCCACAAATAAAGACTTGGGAATTAGATATTGGGGTGAAAGCCTGCTATATCAGAGAAGACCTTCATTTCTGGCTGGAGACCCAGCAAAAGAGTATCTCTCCTATCGTCCCAAACTTAAAAGGCTGAAAATCTCTAAATCTTTCCTGTGTGCCTCTCTTTCCATCTTCCCAGGTCCTCTGCACTCACTATAGCTAATTCTTGTCAACTAGTCTCTGGCTCTGTCCCCTGATCCAAGGTTAATTTTATTAATACAGTCTCAAAGTTTCACAGTATAATCAAATATCCTACAACACTGTAATAAAATACTCGAACTCAAGCAACTTAGAAGGAGGCAGGTATAGGAAAAATCTCTGTGAGATCAATACTAACCAGGTCTCTATAGGGGATTCCAACCCAGCCAGAGCTATATAGTGAAACCCTGGTGTGTGTGTGTGTGTGTGTGTGTGTGTTTAAAAACAATATAGGAGAGAGATTATTTGGCTCATAATTCCAGGTTACAGCTTATCAATGTGGGGAAGACAAGGTAGCAGGAACATGAAACAATTACATTCACACATAGTTGAGAAACAGCAAAGAAGACTTTAAAAAAAAAAAAGCAAAACAGTTCAGAACCCCTGTTTAGGGAATGGTACCACCCCCAGTGTGCTGATCATCCCCACCTCACTGTAATCATGGTAGTCCCACAAAGACCTGCCCACAGACCAACCTGACTAGACAGTCCTTCACTGAGACTCTTCCCAGGGGATTCTAGACTGTATCAAGTTGACAATTAAAACCATAACACTTGGGAATAAATTTAACAGTGGAAATGAATGTTCTGCCATGTTATGGAACACTAATGAAAGTAGACGAAAAGAACACAAACACAAATGCTCACAGGTTGGGAGAATTAATACTGTTAAGCTGTTGATACCACACAGAGCTGCTGTGGAATAATTCTTTTGTGTACTGTAAAGATTTGACACTTGGATTGGTTTAATAAAGAGCTGACTGTCGGTAGCCAGGCAGGAAGTGTAGGTGGGACAACCAAACTAAGGATGTTGGGAAAAAGAAAGTCAGAGTCAGAGGAGACACTAGCAGAGGCAGAGGAAGCAGAACATGTAGGAAATGATGTAATAAGATGAGTCACATGGCAGAGGGTAGGTAAGAAATATGGGCTGGCCTGCAGAAATTACTCAGAGGTTAAAAGCACTGGCTGCTCTGAGTTTAATTCCCAGCAACCACATGGAGGCAAACAACCATCTAGAATGAGATCTGGTGCCCTTTTCTTGCATGCAGGCATAGAGGCAGACTGAACACTGTAACAATTAAACAACATATAACAATTAAATACATTTTTAAAAAAAATATGAGTTAATTTAAAATGAGAGTTAAGCTGGGCAGTGATGGTGACACACCCCTGTAATTGCAGGGAGGCAGAGGCAAGAAGATATCTGTGAATCTAAAGCCAGACTGGTCTACAAAGCAAGTTCTAGGACAGCCTACACTTGTTCCAGGATAGCTTGGGCTTGCTACTAAGTAGCTCTTACAACTTAAATTAATCCATACCTTATCTACTCTCTACCACATTCTATAATGCTTTTTCAGCAAGGCATATTCATCTCCTGCTTCCTCTGCATCTGAAAGGAGACTCCACATAGTTTTCTTCCCAGAACTTTGTCAGTCTTGGTCTCCTGCTCAACCTCTTTCTATCTAGCCATTGGCCAGTTGGCTTTCTATTAGCCCAATGAGAGCAAAACATCTTCACAGTGTACAGTACACATAGCACACCAGCCCAGGCATGGCACTACCCACAATGGGCTGAGCCCTCAATCACTAGTTAAGAAAACATCCTCCAAGACAGACAAGGGATCTAATAGAAGCATTTTCTTAATTGAAGTTCCCTTCTCTCAGCATACTAACGTATATCAAGTCGACACAAAACTAAACAGCACAACAGGTTTATGCTACTTCGTTCATCCCTGAAAACTTTTAATAGAATTTTAAATATGGTAGAGACCCACCCCCTTTTTTTATTGAGAGATTGGTCTAGAAACTGTGCAAAACTGGATTGAGGATCTTGGAGAGAGGGGGCTTATAGTAAAAGCAGTCACTGTAGCAAAAGATATAGGAAACAAAGATAACATGAAGTAGGGTGAAAATACAGGTTGGATAGCCATGCGGTGGAGGTTGCAGCACACTGTCAATCCCAGCACTCAGGAGGCAGAGCTAGGTGGATGTGTGTCAGGTGTGGTGGTTCCCTCACCCAGGAGACAGACTGAAGAATCCCCTCATTAAGTTCCAAGCCAGCATGGCTACATAGCAAGATCCTTCTTCACCCTTTTGCCTCCCCAGTTGAAACACAAACAGTGATATTGGTTGTTTAATAATCAGATGAAGATACTGCAAAACATGGAGAAAATTGAAGATTAAAAAAAAAGTTCCCAAATTTTATGTATAATGTATACATATATAGTTAATATGTGTCTAAAGTATTGGCCAGAGGTGAATGTCAAGGGTGTAACCCTTTATTGCTTCTATACCTCATTTTTGAGACCAGTTCTTTTGGTTCTCCTGGAACTCACAGATTTAGCTAGACTAATAGGCTAAGAAACCCAAATCAGGGGCCCACCTCTTTCTTCCACCCCAGCACAAGGATTACAATGTATATTACTTTGCCCAGCTTTTTACTTGGGTGCTAGATCCTCATGCTTGCTTAGCAACATTTTACTACCTGAGCCATATCCCCAGCACCTGGTTCCAAGTACTGAATCTGATAGAAGGAATTATTGGTAGTGAAATGTAGAAGAGATGGTTTATTTTGATTTATGAGATGGTCTCTGATAAAATTAGTTTTAGATCTTCCATATGGCATTCAAGATGAAATATAGTTAGCATGTAAGAGTAGGTCATGGATCTGAAAAGATGGCTCCTTGGTTAAGAGTATTTGTGTTCTTGCAGAGGTCTGAGGTTCCAGTCCAAACACTCATATTGTGACCCACAGCCACCCATAACTCCAGTTCCAATGGGAACAAAAGGCATGCACATGGTACACACTTATGCATGTAGGCAAAACATTCATATGCACAACATAAAAATGAACCTAAAGAACAGTCTAAAATAAAAGAGTTGGCTTTATTTTGTATGTGTGGTTGGGGGTGAAGGGGGGGATGTATATGCCAGAACGTGTGCATCAGTCTGCATGTGTAGGTCAGAAATGAACCTTGGGTTTACTCCTCAGGAGCCATCCACTTTGGTTTTTTGAACTAGAAACTCTCAATGAAGCGGGAGCCAATTAGACTATGCTGGATGCCCTGCATGCTCCAAAGATCAGGAATTAACCTGTCAATTTTCTGTTCAAATGATGCTGAAGACTAAGTCCAGGGACCTATGCATGCTAGGCAACTCCACCACCTTCTCAGTACAAAAGCCAAACATTTCATAGTTTCATTGATGTCTTATAGAAACCTTTTAATTCTTTAAAATTTTACATATCTTAGAAGACAATTAAGATAATCATTAAAACCATGAAAATAGATTCTGTAATGGGATTAATCAGCAAAGCATCAGCAGTTCCAAGTAATTGTTTAAAGTCTGTACTAAAATTGATAAACAGATCAGCAGTATTCTTGCATTCATCAGGAAACCATCTAATTTTGTCATAATTCCAATAAAACTGAAGCAGAAAATGTTTTCTTTAGTCCTTTGGTCTTCCTTATGTTGTATCTTAAGTTTTTGGTTGTGAGCCTAGCCTTTAACGGCTGAGCCATCTCTCCAGCCCCTTTATGTTGTATCTTAAAAATCAACCAGAACATTACAAGTACTTAAATAGAAAGTTGATTTTTTTTATCCTCTTGTAAGATGTGTAACTGATTCTGATTCATTTTTTAAGATTTATTTTTATTTCGTGTGTGTGTGTGTGTGTGTGTGTGTTTTACTTCCATCATGTGGGAACCGGGGATTGAATTTAGCTTGTCAGGCATGGCAGCAAGGGTCTTTACCCACTGAGCCTCCTGCTTGAGGAGGCCACAAGAGGGTTAAAGAACAAGAGGAGTTCTTTAGGTACCACATGGGTGCTTGGAACCTAACCCAGTCCTCTAAAAGAACAGAAAACGATCTAAACTCCTGAGCATCTCTCCAGTCCTAATATTCTAATTTGTTTGATTATTTGTTGTTTTTTGAGACAGGGTTTCTCTTTGTAGGTTTGGCTGTCCTATAACTCCGTAGACCAGACTGGCCTCAAATTCACAGATACCTGCTGGACTCTGCCTCACAAGAGCTGGGATTAAAGGTGTCTACCACAGCTGCCCGGCTGATATTCTGATTCTTAGCCTTGTATTATATCTAGTCCTTGGACTCCAGTCCTTTATGTTGTTACAGTATAACGTGTATGGCATCTATGTAATTGATCTTCAAAGATGAATGTGCTTCCAGCAAGTTCTAAACAATCTAAATCCAAATTCTTCCAACCATAGGGAAACTCCCATCCTTTGGGGCCTCCAGGATCAAAGGTGGTGTCCACTAAAGAGTTGGAAGAAGCCTGCATGAACTCTGGGTCTGTCTCCCAGCACTTAAATGCCAGTTGTGGCTCATTACAAGGAGGAGTTTTCAGGGACTTACACACGAGGAGGCCCCTAATTGAGTATTGTCTTATTATATTCATTTTATGTGTGTGTGCCACAGCACAGGTGTGGAGGTCAGGGGACAACTTATGTGAGTTGGTTTGCTCCTCCCACCTTGTAGGTCCTAGAGATTGAATCTAGAAAGTCAAGCTCAGGAACAAAGTGCCTTTACACACTGAGCCATCTCCTAGCTTGGTGTTTTTTTTTTTTTTTTTTTTTTTTTTTTTTTTAAATTTCCATGCTTGTTTTAGCAGTATATATACTAAAATTGAAACGATGCAGAAATTAGCATGGTCCCTTCGCAAGTATGACATGAAAACATATTAAAAAAAAAAAAAAATCTCGCCTATCTGACTGAGCCCTTTTACCCCAGGGAGCAGCTTTCCGAAGCCCTGCGCTGCCCCATTGGAGCCAGGCCCCTTTAAGGCCTTTCCTCTTCTCCCAGGCGGAACCGGAAGCGCGAGGACGCGGAGCCCAACATGGCGGCCGCCTGGCCCGCGGGTCAGGCTTCGCCCCCGGCGGGGCCTCCGGGCCTCCTCCGCACTCTGTGGCTCGTGACGGTCGCCGCGGGACACTGGGGAGCCGCTGCCTCTGGCGCCGTCGGGAGCGAGGAGACGCCCAAGTGTGAGGACCTCAGAGTGGGACAATATCCTCCGGAAAGCCGCGGGTCATAGGCGCTCAGCAGGACCCGGGGCTGGGGCTGGGGCTGGGGAGCGCGGCGTCTGCTGCGGCTCTAGCGACCAATGGACCCCGGGAGGTGAGGAGGGAGGGCTGTGGGGACGGAGGGCCGGGCCCAGCACCGTGTGCTTTCCCCTGCACCGACCAGAGCTCGGCACTTCCTTTGCTGGTTGACCCCGGGTTTTATTCAAACAGGCACATCCAGCCGGCTTTGTCCCAGATACTAGACATGCCGACACCGACAGAGGCTTCCCTGAAAGTCTGCAGGTGTTGAAGGAGACAGATGTTAATAGTGAGCCAGTGCATATTTGTCGTTTGTCATTAACGTTACGTACATCACCCCCAGCCATCCTCAGACGGACTGCCAGGCAATTAATTGACTGCTTTACTTTGTGCTCTTAGACAAACGATTATTATGTGTTTGAAAATAAGAGATCCCCTTCAATATTTTAAAATGTAATATTTGGATTAATACCTTGTAAGAATTTCATCCAGTGGATTTCCAGTGTATTTACCGTTACTTTTCAAACCCTAACTCCTTCCAGAAATGCTTTGACCCTTTCACTTCCTCTTAACTTCTCCTCCCCCTCCCCCCCCCCCAAAAAAAAAAAAAAAAACCTAGGGAGTCAGTGTGAGGCTATCCAGGCTGGCATGGTTGACTTACCTGGGACCTCACCTTTAAAACTATGGCTCTGTGACTTAGAAGCCATCAACTGGCAATAGCTCCTTCGTTAGGGATGGGGGGGGGGGCTCTTGAATGAGAAAATTATGTCTATTTTCTTATTAATAAAACATGTAGGTATCAGCAACACAGCAATTGTGTTAGTTGTTATTTACAGATGACCAGTCTGAAATAAGAGTAGGTGAATGTCTATTACAACATTGAAATAGAGAAACAAGGTGAAATGTGTGTTATACTCAAATCACTGGGTTTGAACAAAGCTTGGAGTACTGACACAATGCCTCAAACATTTGTATACAGATACTCAAACCTGCAGAAGCAAGAAAGACCAAGAAAAATGTTAAAATTAAGAAAATTCTGTAACGTCTGTATGCATAGATTTTCACAGAGCACCTCATAACTTGCTAATCCCAATATGCATGGAGTTTCTGAATACTGAGTTTAGTATTGTCTTAGGAAAAACACAAGTGTCTTCTAAGAAGTAACTGAGCTAATTATGAATTGTTGAACCCTGGTGAGAAGCCTGTGGAACTCTGAGATGGTGACAACTGCATGTTGTCTTAATGACCTAACTAAAGATATTTCCAGTAGTGATTTAGAAGTTCTAAATGAGTGTCATGCTGTGACTAGAGACATCTTGTATGCACCATATCTACTTTATTGGGATGTGAATCATAAAATCTTAAGAAAATAAAACTTAAAAACATTCTTACAGTTTTAGCATCTATTAGAGGGGTTTTTAGAAACTTAAAAATCCTCCTGGAGTCAGTGACCACAGAGAAAACAGCCACCTTTCTATAGTCATATGCAAAGTGCCCAAGGCTTGGAATCAGGACACCTGATTTTGCTGCCTGTCATTTACATGACTGAAAGTTTGAACCTCAGCTGTGCATTTGTGGTGTAGGAATAACAAATAGTATCTTCCTTGAAACTTTGTGTTACATGAAATTGTGAATTAGTTGAATCCAGAGCTCTGGGACTGGATTTGTTTTTAAACTTAAAATAATTTGGTAGATTTTTATTTTATTTATTTATCCATTCATTTATTTTGGGTTTTGAGACAGGGTTTCCTGGCTATCCTGGAACTCACAGAGGTCCACCTGCCTCTGCCTCTCTGAGTGATGGGATTAAAGAAAAACATGAGCCCTCAACAATGGGCAAGATTTTTAATTTGATTGTTGCTTTTTGCTTATTCTTTAATCGATGGTCTTTGAAGATGGCATCATCTGCTAGAACTTTTGATATAAATTTATTTTATATGACTTCCTGTAATTTAATTTTCAACTATTATCTAAGCAACACTAAAAGTGTATTTAGGTTTGGTTTGGTTTGGTTAAAACAGAGTCTCCTTACATACCCCTAGCTATCCTGGAACTCACTCTGTAGACCACGTTGGCTTTGAGCTCACAGAGATCCATAGGCCTTTGCCTCCCAAATGCTGGGATTAAAGACATGTACCACCACGCCAAGTTTAATAGTGTATTTATATCTGAATTTGTTGACTAGTACAAACTCAGTCTCTCTGTACATGTGAATCAACAAGAGTTATAAGGCATTTAAAACATAGTATTTTATGCTAGAAATATAATTCAAATTTCCTTAACTTTTTAAACATATATTTGTAAAGAACCATCAATAAATGATGCTACTCAAGAACCAGTTAACTGTACAAACTACACAGCTCATGGTAAGATTTCTAGAATCTTGTCTTTAAAATAGTTTGTAAGATTTTAACTATTTCAAAGAACAATTAATAAATGTGTTTTATGTTGTGTTAGACGTGATTGTTCAGTTTTCAGAACAATTTAGATTTGGAAACTAATTAAAAATTATGAACATTCAATTGATTGATTGGTTAATAAACTAACTTTTGTGCTTGGGATTGAAGCCAGGGATCCCTGCGTGCTCTTCCAGAGTTACACCCAGTGTCACTCTTGAAGTTAAGAAGCAATGTTTCTTAATTACATAAATGGGATGTTTTCTGTTATTTTATACTTAACTTATTTTAAAACCTTAGAATCCACTCATATAGCTCATGTTTTTTAAGTTTTATTTAAGTTTATATTTGACTGATATATGAAAGCATCAGTATAGTGCATATTGTATGATGAAATGTTTTGGGCCGTGTGTGTGTGTGTGTGTGTGTGTGTGTGTGTGTGTAATACTAAAGTCAGGATAAATATATCTATCTCTTTAAATATTTTTAGTCTTTAACTGCCAAGCTTTGTGACAGAAATATAAATATAGTTCTTTAGTCAGTGTTGTTGTTTTGTTTCCATTTCTTTTTAAGACAAGTTCTCACTATGTAAGCCTCAGACTCACAGATCTTCCTGCCTCTGCCTCCCCATGCTGGGATCAAAGGTGTATACCACCATGCATCTCAGTCACTGTTCTGTTGCTGTGAAGAGACATCATGACCAAGGCAACTCTTACTGAGGGATGGCTTACAGAGTCAGAGGTTTAGTCCATTATCATCATGGCAAGGAATATAGTAGCACACATGGTACTGGAGCAGTAGCTGAGAGCTACATCCAAATCCACAGGCAGAGGGCAAGACATTGGGCCTAATGTGGCTTCTGAAACCTCAAATTCCACCCTTGTGATATTTCTTCCAACAAGGCCACGTCTAATCCTTTTCAAATATATGAGCCCATGGGGGGCATTTTTATTCAAAGTACTGCAGGTGCCCAGCTGGTTAGGACTTTTATATGTTTCATTTTCTTATTTGAAATTAAAAAAAATTATGTGTATGTGTCTGAGTATCTGTATATGTACTGTTTGCATGCAAGTGGCTGTAGCAATCAAAATAGAGTATTGGATCTCCTAGGATTGGAGTTACCACTGGATGCACGTGCTGGCAATATGCAATACACATGTGTAGAGGTCAGGAGACCTTGCAGTAGCCAGGTCTCACCTTTTATCCTGCTCCCAGGTATCAAGTTCAGGGTGACAGGCTTGGCAGGAAGTGTACCTACTCACTGAGCCATTGGCCCACCCTCGGACATGTGTTTTTAATTACTGGAAAAGAACTCAAAGCTGGATATGGCAGTATGCAACTGTAACCCCAGCACTAGGGAGGCTGAGACAAAAAGATCATGAGCTTGAGACCATCATGGTCTATATAGTGAATTTGAAGCAAGCCTGTGTTCTGTAGTGAGAGAGGAGCATGAAACCTGTCAATAATTTACACAGAACTGTATTGCCCATATTATGTACTTGAAACATGAGCTTTAGGATATAAAAACAGTATGATAAAGATTTTATATGTGTACTGCTTATCAAAAAATATCAGAGAAGTGTTTTTTGATAGTGAGTAGCACCTTATTCTAATGATTTAGAGGAGCCTCTCTCATTCTAAATACATGTAAAGCTAGGAGAATTTAATAGTTGCCTGTTTTAGTCACTTGTTTATTGCTTCAAGGGAACACCTTGACCATGGCACCTCTTATAAAGAAAGCATTTATTGGGAGTACGCTTACATTTTCAGAGGCTTAGTCCATCATCATCGTGATGGAAACATGGTGACACACATTTCCATGGTGCTGGAGAAGAAGCTGAGGGTTCTACATGTGATCAGCAGCAGAAAGAGAGAGCTGGGCCTAGTGGGGATCTTAACCTCACAGCCTAACCCCAGTACTCTGGAGGCAGAGGCAGGTGGATTTTTGAGTTTGAGGCCAGCCTGGTCTACAAAGCAAATTCCAAGACAGCCAGGTCTACACAGAGAAACCCTGTCTCAAAAGAACAGAAAAGAGAGAAAAGTGCTAAAATACTGTTTTGTTTCTTGAAGATCTGATTTTACATAGTTTACAGACAGAGCTAACAAGGCTATATAATATGGAAATGTTTCCCATGTGTGTGTGTTTTCTGTCACTGTGATAAAATATGTGAGAGAAAAAAAAATTGAAAGGAGGAAAGGTTTCTTTCTGGCTCATAGTTTTGGACGTATCAAATCATGCCTGGCTGGCTGCATTGCTTTTAAGCTT